CCTATAAACCCTATAAACCCTATAAACCCTATAAACCCTATAAACCCTATAAACCCTATAAACCCTATAGACCCTATAGACCCTATAAACCCTATAAACCCTATAAACCCTATAGACCCTATAAACCCTATAGACCCTATAGACCCTATAAACCCTATAAACCCTATAAACCCTATAGACCCTATAAACCCTATAGACCCTCTAAACCCTATAAACCCTATAAACCCTATAGACCCTATAAACCCTATAAACCTATAGACCCTATAAACCCTATAAACCCTATAGACCCTATAAACCCTATAAACTCTATAGGCCCAATAGACCCTATAAACCCTATAAACCCTATAGACCCTTTAGACCCTATAAACCCTATAGACCCTATAAACCCTATGGACCCTATAAACCCTATAAACCCTATAAACCCTATAGACCCTATAAACCCTATAAACCCTATAGACCCTATAAACCCTATAGACCCTATAAACCCTATAAACCCTATAGACCCTAAACCCTCAACCGTGGAGGGTTCTGGGTGTAGGCTCGATTTCCAACCCTGGGCCTCAGAATGAAGGGAAGTTTCAGGAGGGCAGTTGCTAGGTGGGTACCTTTTCATGAGTCTGCTAGAAGGAGCCCAGGAGTATACAAGGGCTATGTGAGGCGTATATACGGGGGAAACTGCACACCTAAGTTTCCTTACACAAAACCTTTAAATCCCTAAGCTCTTCAAGGGCCCTAAGGCCTTCAAAAGCTCCAAAGATTTCAATCCAGGTGGTTGTCGGAAGTGCTGGCTTTGTCACGTCCAACGATTCACCAGAAGCCTGGCGCGAAAAACATGAAAAATTAGGCATAAACCCCTGGCTTCTCGTGCTAGGCATTTCTTCGGCAAGATGCGGACAATGGGCTCTTATCGGGAGCTTCCCATGAGGGATTACACAGGGCTTACGTTGAGAGAGCCCGGAGTCCGAAAAAGAGTTTAAAAAGAGTTAAGGGGGGTTTAGGGTGTAGGGGTTTAGGGATTAGGGGTTNNTAGGGGTTTGAGGGTTTAGGGTGGCCGTCACACGCCCCTACTGTAGAAATCCAGCAGGGCAGTATAAGTTGTAAGCAATGTCCCATGGAGTAGGCCTCTGAAGCGTGCTCAATGGCTTTCTGGCAGATCTCCAAGCCAGAAGATACGCCTAGGCTTACACATTTAGCAAAACTCAAGGCCTACAGCACCTACTATTGTGGATGGAGGAAATCTT